CGATTTTAGCAATATTCCAGCAATATCAAGGCTGGGAACACCAGAAATGGGCTTCACACATTGTACCCATGTGGGGAATCGAACCCAGGTCTTCGGCGTGACGAGCCAACTCTTTATTAGTCTTTAACCACTAGCCTACCTCACCAGCCCTCTAATACAAGAGCGATGCATAATCAAAAGAACCAAATATGGGAATTATTTAGCTGCACCTAACAAAAATGAGAATTTGTTCACACTTATAGACTTGAATCACAATGATAACATTTGACCTTTTTGTGTTCTTTTGTCCTATTAGATATGTTTCAAAACAAAGGAAATTTGTAATATTAAAATATTCTGGGATTTGTATCAACTGTTCATCTTTCATCTTTTTATTTCCTCATTTCCATCAGTCTGTTGTATCTCATATTCAAGCAAATGCTTGTTTCCATAATAAAGGAATCAATTTTCAAATTTTATCAGTCCCCAAAATCCATTAATCTCAAACCCAGGCTTCAAAATCCAAAAGGCAAGATATAAATGCCTTTGGTGAAAAATAGAATATCTAACAAGCTGCTGATGCATTAATCATATTTTTTCAAACATTTAATAAACATGCTGAAATATTGTGGGATCCGTACCAGTGGAATTGAGAAAGACAGGTAGTTGATCAACTTGTTATGGAGACTGTCCATACTGACAGCAAATCCAAACAGTGAGATTTGACTTTAGGCTGAACTAATTTGCATGATTTCCTGAATTTCGATGCAAGACTATCATCTTAAAACGCTTCCTCGAAGTTGATTGACAGAACAAAGAAATCACACGCAATGAATTGATTTTGCAATTAGCCACTTGATGTCCATGTAGGCTAGGGAGGTATTAAGGCAGCTATGGATCTGAGTTTATGACAAAATTTGATGGAGGAACAGATTATCAAGGATGCTGCCTTGGGCTTCGTCAAGGCAGACATCAAAAGAAGCACTTTAGAACAAAGGGCTTATAATCATGTTGGAAATTACATTTTGGTGGAAAGCAGAAGCATGGGAAAAGCTGGCACTGGCGTTGACATGAGGAATTATTTTGTCTCGGTAGAGTTCTCCCAAAAACGTTTATTATTCTGGTCCAGTGACTGTTTCCGTTTTTTGATGCAATTAATTTGAATTAAATTGATCAAATTTTCAAAACTGAATTTTGTAATTAGATTTAATGATTGTTTATGATGAATGAATTTTACTTTTTCAATGCATTTCATCAATACCGTAATCATTGCCAATGGAAAGATTTTGTTTCAAGTTGCAAAAAAATGATTGTAATACAATAAACTTGTACAGAGTTTTGAGGGTGGTACTGTTAAACGAAGTGGAATGTTTGAATCAATGTAACATTGTAGTGAGGTTCTATATAAGTACTAAATATCCATATAAATATAATGGTCATCAACGTATGTTAAAATGAACATTATTATTATGTACACACATGGATACAAGATTTAATTTGTGTTATTCCAATTGATCAGGACATAAACATATTTGGTGCATGCTGCCATCAGTTTTCTAGAGGGGATATTTACCTTGATGTTAATTGCAATATTGAAGTGTCAATAGAGTATCGTCGTTTCCTGTTATGTGAGTGGCATGTTTTAATAGACATATGTACATATCCTGTTATTGACAAGCGTGGGAGGCAACTCTATCACCAGGTGGGAGAAAAGTCAAGGAACAAGATTTGTTTAGTCATTAGCTTGGCTACACTGCCTTGAAAATATTTTACAGGAAATATTCTGAAGATTATGATTAAGAAGAAATGTCTCATTAGTAATGAATTTAAACATTAGATTGGAAAATTAATCATATCAGTTGGACTAAAAGAGATACTGCTTAGCTGAGATCATATTAAAGCATAAGAGTGAGAAAGTATGGTTTTACGCCGCTTTTAGCAATATTCCAGCAATATCACAGCAGGGGACACCAGAAATAGGCTTCACACATTGTACCCATGTGGGGAATCGAACCCGGTCATCGGCGTTACAATGAACGCTTTAACCACTAGGCTACTACCTCAAAGCATGAGAGTTCAAATGATAAAAGCATAAGAGTTCAAATGTTAAAGCGGCAGTGGGCCAAAACCTAGTGGTTGAAAGCATGGGTACAATGTGTGAAGCCCATTTCTGATGTCCCCCATCGTGATATTGCTAGAATATTGCTCAAAGCGGCATAAAACCATACTCACTCACTCACTGACTCACTCAAATGATAAAGCAGATGGTTCTGCCTGCTGGTCATAAAGTTCACATTTCTGTATGGTAATTTGGATTCTAACATGTTTTGTAAATGCCAACAGCATTTATTTTCAGTTTTGATGGTTTCCATTAGGAATTGATTAATTTTCATGGCTTCATGTCTTAAACATGAGATGTTTTAAACATCTTTAACATAACTAATTATTTTTCATGTCAGAACTACAAAACTATAAATAGGCCATGTAGTTTCCTGCTGAGATAGAAACACTTTAGGAACTTCCACATGTGTGGTTAAAATTAATTAAGCAGAATATGTCTTTAAAATGTCCATACCTTCATGTTTAAAGATGTTTGAGAAAAGGAACAGATTATTTGAGATAGGTTTCAAATTATTGCATGACGTATATTTTTATGAATTAGTAGGAACACAAATCAGTTATGAATGCCAACATGTTTTCGATGTCATATTAATGGAGAGCAATTAAAGGTGAGTTTGTGACTTATTTCAAACAATGAAGTTAATATTTATACGAATATCAATAACAAAAGCAAAAATATATTCCCACTTCAACTCGGGGACTGCTATGAAACAAAATCATTTTTCAAATACATGTATTAGAATCGCATTTGTTTTCAAGTATAGGAAGTAAATCAAATCAATAACGATTTGACAATTTATATTGCATTTCTATAAAGGTTTAATCACAGACATTTTTTTAACCAGAATTCATAATAATTCAACTACCTGCAGCAAAGTCATCAATTGCAGATTGTCAATCTTTCTATACAATCCATTCTTAATCTATTTCCGTCTTAAATCGTTATAGTCATGCTCAAATGTATCATTCAGTATATTTAGAGAGTTACAAGTATTTTCTTAACCGGATTGAGGCAAACTAGTATTGATTGTCTCACCATGAACAATGCATGGCTGGTGAAAGAAGTCATTCTGTCCAGAACGGATCCATTGTGCAACAAATCTATTTTTGCCCCTGACGATAAAGGTAATTTATTATCAATTGTACTGGTCACATTACACCATCCACAAGACTCTCAGAGAATCAATTGGATAAGAATGCTAAAGGAAAGCCTCTCTAAACAACTGACTGGAAAAAATTCTGAGGGCTTTCTCTATATTTTTGGCGTTCTGTGGACAGTACTGGTTCCATAATTGGTCAGTTGTGTGGTAAATACACTTGTGTAACCTGTCCAAGACTGGCCGATGGTCAAGGTTGTGCTGAAGTGAAGTAACAGCAGTTATAGGTCATCTCTTGTGATGTACAACTGCGAACATGTCTGTTGGCTAAGAATTCAGATGAAGTGTTGGTGGAATTTTCTCTGAGACCATACACAACAATAGATCTCTGTGGTTGTGTAGGGTATTATCATTGGCGGAATGTTTGCTTTGAAGTTGTTCAAGACAAATTGGATCTGTGATTAAACAGTTGAAAATAGTGCTGTATGTGTGAGCTCGTAATTCTTTTATGATTGGAATGTGGTGGAAATACTGTACTGAAACTCTACTTGGCTGGAAAAGTGCACTGGTGCAGAAAATTCTGATTCGTGAATCGAATATTATCAAATTTATAACCACCAGATCAAAGAATCGTCTAAACAATTACCCAAGCAGAAACACCTAGTATGCTAATATGCTGACTGTTTGGAAAGATTGGTAAATTTATTGCTTAAATTAATCAACTCCATTTCCTAGTCTGAAGAGTAAAGTCAAACTGAATCATCATTTTTAACAAATACATTATGTTTTCATTACAATCCTGACATTTCTGTGACCTTTGTGAATGTGGGAGAAAAAGTGTGTATTTGTGAGCACGGAGTAAACAAAGCCTGTACTCCAATTCAAATTGGCTCTTTATTCCTTAATCTTCTTGGACTTGAGATATGAGTTTGTAATGACCAGAAGTGGACAGGTCAGCACTCATGCTGTCCCTGCATAGTGAAGGGCATACATTGTGTCCAGTGGAATGTGAGTGTCCACAGTGAGGGGTGGAGGGTCAGTGGACAGCCAGACCTTCCCACCATACCTGCTTTTCTCTGTCAGATCTTTTGTCAGGTAAAGCCTTTGAAACCCGAACAGACTCCCCATGCTAATGCCTGTTTTAATTCATGTCTGAGGTTTTCATACTTGGCTGAAATTTGTTGGGCTGTAGCGATAAGGTATAAGGTCGGGATTGATTTCAGACAAACTGAAGACATTTGATTGGATGTGATGTTTTTGAAGCTTGATGCCTCCGTGGTCAGCTGGTATCTTAAAAGATACTGACAGATTTGAATTTGAATTGAAGTGCAGCTGACTTTGTGAAAAGTGCACACTTCCTTGAGGGAGATCATGATTAAACATCAAAGGCGGCTCACAACACAAGGCTGTAATTCTAGCACTTTAGACACACTTTGAATGGTGTTCTATCAGCTTGGATTTCATGGAGAGAAACATTGCATGATTAAAACTTAATACCACCAGAAATACGATACAAGGTTTCATTGGTGGACTTCAGATTCAGTTTGTGTTCAGTATTACACAGAATATGTGACTTTGCCCATATGATTTATAGCTCAGGATATCCTGAATCCCTGTACAAGGTTGAACTGAAGGGTCAAAACTGTTTGTCATTGTTTTAAGGCTGACAGCACGAGGACAGTGAATATGCACACTCACAGTCATTAGGTCTTGTGATCTAGTTTAACCTGACTCTCCAGCCAGCTATAATTATCTTGTCCTGAGGTAGTGAGACGTCTCAAAATATCTGCCGTTGTGACAGAGCCTTGAGTCGTGGGTAAAGTTCAGAAGTCACTGTCAAGCGTGGTTGCCTTCACAGGGTGACACTCAGGTGCAACATCGGTGTCGTACAACCCTGTACGGAGCTACAGGATCAACAGCTATTGGGATTCAAATGGTATCTTCACCTCTCGTTTTGACGAGCTTAGACGTCCTATCTCCCCCAGGCAGGTGAACATCGAAGTATGTCAGCTTGATTCGAATCCACTGATGTAATCCTGGGTATTATGATACAACTGCAGTGTGTATTACAGCATTTGAAACCAACAGTGTTTGCCAGGTAGATCAAGTGGTGGTGTACACCATAAGATGAGGAGCACGGCAAATTGAATAGTTTGTCTGGTTGCAGGTGCAAACATTTACGTCACTATTAACATACAGGGTGTCACTGACATGGAAAGTTTTACAGTGTGAAACCGAAACCATAAAAAGTGTTCAGCGATTACAACAAACAGGAGTGTGAGGATCTTCGTAAACATTTCGATGCACAACAGCCCGTTGTCAGCAAGTGCAGATTTTTTGCAGTTGCACTAGTGCACTTTAAATCCTGCTGAGTGTTGATTTCGCTCACAAACCTTTGATTCCATCATCAAGCGGACCTCATAAGCTGATAAGAAGATCTGCGTCAGGAGACGTTCCTTTTTCATGCTACCATGTGTGTTGAGTCCAGGACAAATTACTTCCTGCTGAGGACTGTCTTTGACTATTTTCTCAGAAATAATATGTGTTGATGACTTGTCTGTTTGGTTCATCTGTATGGATAAATTCTCATTTCATGCAGCGATGTCAGACAGACTTACTGAACTTTTCAAATTACGTCTTTTTAAATGAAAATCTGTATTACGCATTTGGTTGGATATGAGACAGAAGATTCGATATCTTGTCAGTATATGTGATTGTGGAATATATCGCAATTGACATCTGATGACGTGCATCACAAGAGGATTATTCTTTTGCAGTGAATATCAGTCTGACTCTGAAGAAGATAGGCATATGCCTGATTTGGGAACAGCTTCAGGCCAACAACAAATGTGGCATTTAAGAAACTTGCATGATATCAGATAAATCTTTTTTATATGCAAATCAGCTGTTTCGACAAGGAAATACTAGGAGTATACAGTGAAGCGTCTCACTGAGAAAGGCTCACATCAAAGTGTACTGACTGACGTAGGATCATAATCTGTAGGTGTGACATAACCATATGGACAGATAACAAGAAATTGACACCTGTCAATTTCACTTGTGGATGTTTACCTGTCGTCACAAAGAGTACATATCTGTTGGCCAGCTGGCACAAGGCTTTTGAAAGTGACGTGATATGTACATGATATTGAAGTGAGAAATGTAAACAATCTGGGACCTTGGCTTATATTTGAAGAAATCTACATGCTATTGACGTCATTCCAAAGAGACATTTGACAGCTGTTAAAATATACCTAAAAAAGTGTATATTTCATCAAGTGCCGTATCCCTGTGGCTGATTCAGCGTTGCATTCGTACATACAGAGAGTGACATTGTTTTACACTGACAGGAATTGTTTTGGAAGTTTTGACACTGATTAATTTCATTTTGGGGTTTAGAAAGGTGACAGTGGTAGAATTTGTTTGCATTTGGACTGAATCATAACTCCTGACAGTGGACAGAGCTCTACAGCAGTTAATGAATTGGATCTATTTCATTAACACCAGAAATCCTCACAAGTGTATCTGATCTTCCCATCAGTGGTAGCCAATGGTTATCTAGGTTTATTAAGCAAGTCCACATTGTTTTATTGTGTTGTGACAGGTTGACGTGGCTCTGAAATAGAGAACTATGAAATGTGTGCACTAGGTCCATCCCAGGAGTGATGTAAACTTGCTTATCGACAGAATTACTGTGCTGTTTTATTCCTCTGTGTGAGATACTGTGTTTGCTTTGTGGACATTACCTCGCAGACAATGTCATCCCTCGGTCGACATCCAAGCTGCATCCACTTCCCTAAGTTGGAGAAGCTCCACAGGCTGCTTAGAAAGGTAAATTACATAGTTAATCTTTTATCAGGAAGTTTAATTTTTTAGATAAAACAAACAACATCAGTGCATTTTTGCAAGAATATTTTTGTTTTGCTGTTTTATAAACTGGGGCGGCGGAGTAGCCAAGTGGTTAAAGCGATTGCTCGTCAAGCCGAAGACCCGAGGTTCAATTCCCCACATGGGTACAATGTGTGAAGCCCATTTCTGGTGTCCCCCGTCATGATATTGCTGGAATATTGCTGTAATATTGCTAAAAGCGGCGTAAAACTACACTTACTCACCCTTTCAAACTGATATCTGAACCTACAGTCATACGTATTTGGTGTGCCAGAGAGATGCATCTCTACCCAGTGAATTTAGGCACCTTAAACAACTTGTTCACTGTGCCACATCAAGAATCTGTTTGTTCACACTGTGATACTTCAGTACAGTTTGTTCACACTGTGATCAGTACAGGTTGATGTCACATCTATGAAAAGAGTAAATTGAAATCAGTCTTTGGTTCACTGTAACACTTCATTTTTTTTCACTGTAACATGTAATTCTTTCACTAAAATACATTTGGTATTGTTTTATCTGTCAAATATTTGATACATAAAATCTACATCTGGTTCTAAGTTTAATTTGTTGCTACAACTGTGTCAAGGATATGAAATTGATATTTTTCCTACAAATATTGTATTTGTAAATATCATTAATTGTGATGTTTGCACATGGGAAGAGTATAAACAGAATATAAACAGTTTTGTCTCATGATGAAACATGTTGCATCAGCTCGTATCACTGATCAAAGGTTACACTATGTAACCAAAATACCCAATTATACCAGCAGAGTTAATTGACAACAAATAACCAATGAAATACCTCAAGGGGTTAATGTGTCAATATTGATAATCAATTTCACATGTTGTACCCCGTACCCTACCGAGAAAATGTTAACAACGTTTGAAATAAGTGTAGGTGTTTATAGGCTGATAACGTCATTATGGCCCTAAGTCCTTAACTCTTATCTGAAAATAAGTGAAATTTATACCCAATTACTGTGTAATCAACAAGCTATCGATGACCCCAGGAGCCATGTTAGTCTAATGGGTGGGAACTGACCTGGTCAGACAGTGCTGGTCAATATTTAGAGGAAACAAGCAATATTAATTCATTGTAGGTGATAACGACATCCATTTCCTTTTGAGATGAGAATGGTTCCAGGCATCATTTTTGTAACTAGAGTTTAGCTCACCTTATCAGAGGTTTAGAATGAAATGATAAGACATTTTTTAAATGAGACTGGATGCAGGCAATATTTTTTGTAACTAAAGTTTAGCTCACCTTATCAGAGGTTTAGAATGAAATGATAAAAGGAATTTTTAAGATGAGACTGGATGGCAATATTTTTGTAACTAGAGTTATCAGAAGGTTAGAATGAAGTGATGGTACTGAATCAATCAGATTATAACCTCTATGTCCTTTTGAGATGATGGATGCAGGTAATGGGTTGGCACGGAATACTAAGACCCTGTATCAGCTGTTCTTGTTAGTATTGTATATATGTTCACCAAATCACATACTCTGTCACTGTGGTTGTTTGCACTTCAGTATATATATTCGGCTATAGTTTTTAGCTCACCTTATCCAGGGCTGAGCATGAACCTTCATTCTGAATCTTGTCAGAAAATTTCAGGTTGCCATATGCAGTCTCAGCTGAAATTAACCATCAAGATGAGTGAGTGAGTGAGTCTAGTTTTACGCCGCACTCAGCAATATTCCAGCTATATGGCGGCGGTCTGTAAATAATCGAGTCTGGACCAGACAATCCAGTGATCAACAACATGATCATCGATCTGTGCAATTGGGAACCGATGACATGTGTCAACCAAGTCAGCGAGCCTGTCCACCCGATCCCGTTAGTTGCCTCTTACGACAAGCATGGGTTACTGAAGGCCAATATTCTAACCCGGACCTTCACGGGTCCCATTAAGATGAAATGTATTTCATCCTTTTGTGGAATATTGGAGTGAATTTATATTAAAACAACCATAGTAGTTTTTAAATTTGACTGAAGTTTAAAATGACCATATAATGTGGTTTATCCTTCTAATGTGTTTAGGTTGGTGGGGTAGCCTAATGGTTAAAGCGCTGGCTCGACACGCCGAAGACCCGGGTTCGAATCCCCACATGGGCACAATGTGTGAAGCCCATTTCTGGTGTCCCCGCCGTGATGTTGCTGGAATATTGCTAAAAGAGGCGTAAAACCAAACTCAGTCACTCTAATGTGTTTATGTATTCAGTAAGGTCAGTTGAAGGATATCTAACATCAAGCACAAATATTAACAATGTGAAACAAAACACGGAGCAAATGCAGCAGCAGTTCATGGTTAATAATTACAGAGGAGCCAAAACATTTCAGCATTGTACTTGTTCATTTAATCCATTCATTCACCTGCTGAGTCTTGAAATAATAATAATACTGAAAATTTATGTAGTTCTAAATCCAACCACTTAGTGGGTGCTGAAAGCGCTACAATAGTAATAGCTGAAAGGCATGAAGTTTTGTATTTCAAACAGTTGTCCTATTGTAATGGTAATTAGTTTTCACACCAAACCTTTTCCAGCTTTTGAATGTTCCCCAGGGAGCTGAGAATATGACTTGATTTTACACCTATCCTTCAACCGGAGTAATAATGGTGCTCCAAAAATTGCATACCCCAAGGGAAGAGAGGATGTAATTTAAATTTATACATATCCATCAACTAGGGTAGTGATGATGCTCCAACACTGGTATTGGGAGCTGAGAATATAGTTTTGATATACACTTGTCCATAGAAATGATGCTCCAATATTTCTAAACTCAACAGGGATTTGAGAAAGCATTATTTTTTCATAACTGTCTTTAATATTTAGACAAAATCTCTATATATTTAATCTAATAACAATGGTAAATACAAAGCCTGTCCCCAAAATGTCTAGGTTTAGCATTGCAGCTGAAATAGTGTTGGTTTGTGGATCATACATCTTCTGTAGTTGGCGCTGTTAAGGAGCCGATGCCTTCAAACCCTGGCCTATATCCTACATATTGTAGCAATGCATGCCATTATGATGCAGAACATATTTATCTCGGAACACCTGTTTATTTGCCCAGAACACTGTTCCAAGATAAAGGCCACACTCCTCAGAACATTACACCAGCATAATACAACAGACTGATAAATATAGCAGCATGGGCTACCAGCTTTGTTTCCCAAAAGCATGTTGAATTTCAAAGAATCCATTGTTTAACAAATAGTAGATGTATACATGATGTATAGCATGTTATACTCGTTACTCATGGTGTTATGAAGGAAATGACCCATCAACTGCAGTGTGAAATATCGTAAACCTGAGGATTACATATTAACCAGGAAAAGGGGGAATGAGGATCTTGGTAGAATATTTATTTGACATTCCTAAACCTATTCAATATTAACAACTAATATATTTTAAGTTGGGAGAATTTTCATTTCATCAATTCCTTGCCCAAGTAAGGTGACAGAAGTCTGTATCACATCCATCCATCCATCCATCCATCCACCCATTACATGCACCCATTACATGCATGTGCATACATACATACATACATACATACATACATACATACATACATACATACATACACACATACATACATACACACATACACACACACATACATACATACATACACACACACACACACATACATGCATACATGCATGCATTACATACATACATATACACACCTAAACACATATACACATGTTGCATACATGCATATGTTCAAAATGTAAACACATAATGTTAAGAAAAGCGTATCCTCGATCAAAAATACGTCATTTTGTCTTTTTTTCTTTCGTGTCTTTACAAGCAGCACTTTACAAGATTAAGAAACAGTATTTCCATGTTTACAGCAGGATAAAGCTGCAGATTAAAAGGTCACGTTCACCTTAGGTTAATCATACTCATTAGCAAAGCTTCATATATGTTTCCGTGTACATAGGTGCAGCAGAGCTCTAAAGAGCAAGCTAGATACTGATAGGTCCCTCGACACGTTCTTGGAAACCTCTGGGTGCGGTGACGTTGTAAACATGAGATGGCCATCACTTTAGTGTATCAACATGTTACACATGTGAAATGCCTTCCACAGTTGTGGATAAGAGAACCGGAACTGGCAAGGTATATTCCTAGTCGGTATGTAGGTAAACGGTACCGAGTTACCTCCAGAGAGTTGTACATGAGTTGGAATAACTGCCAAACGATCATCTATTCTCAATTACGTCTGGTGGCTTCTTCGGTAAACAAACATTTGGGGTACATGTTATCAACAATCTTGTTGATGGTGATAATTATCTCAGATCAATATTGTATATGATGAAATAAACATGTTTTTGTTTGTACATGGTTGTCGACATGTGGTAGAAAATGGCGTGATATTTCTCGTCCTGTTGAGCCAGATATATGTATGGAATATTGATGGGCTATTGTGTAGGAGTGAGAAGCATTCATAAACACACAGCTATCTTTACGTCTGGATCTGTAAATAGCAGTATAAGATTTCACTATCTTAGTTTGAAAATATACATGATGAAATCTGACCAAATGTCTTGGAAAATGTTTTTTATAAATTGGTTTCTCTTCTCCTAGATGTTTTGTTTGTTGAAATCATACTTATCGTCTCAGTATGTTAATATGTTGGAAAAATGTTTACAGAAAATTCAGTTTGTCCTCATTTTTTTTCACTGCAATTATGTATTTAGGACCTTGTTTTACATATTGTCAGTATCAATCATTCTTGTCAGCTGTCATGCTGTCACTTGCAACTGACAACACTTTTTTCATGTCTAGATGTTTTTTTCTAAAGATATATAAGCAGCCATAGGAAAACTCTTTGGAATCTGATTGTGACTTTTGTTTTGTTTTTTTTTATTATAGGATATTTATAAGCGCTTTGGAATCTAGTGCATTGTGTATTTTCCCCTCGATCATTGGAT